AAGAAATCTTCAAAGAATGAATTTTTCCTTTTTTTGATGTGGGTTTTTTATGATTCAAAAATTACTCATGCCGCTTTACAATATTATGATAGTCTGTCAAATATGCAAACAGTCTTGTGGATCAAAAATTAATAAATTCACAAAGCGCTAACTCTTGGGGCCTTCTGTAAAAATATTTTGAGTTAATTTGAATAATTGTATGGATTTAAAAGGGCTGTAAATTCTTTAAAAACATCCCAGAAGTAATTTTTTTCTCTAATACCAATAACAAAAAAAGGTTGTCTTTGTAATTAGTTTTAACTATTGAGGTTAAAACCAAGTCACTAGCTCAGGTTGTTTCCTTGGAAACAGATAGGCAAGGAGTAGGTGAAAAGAGGACTTATTAGTGTTTGTTTTATTTTTTAAAAGGAAATTATCTTGACATTTTAGGAGATTTAACTCAACACTAATTTTTAACTCTAAACATTACAAATTATAAGACAGTTTAAAGTAATTTTCCAGTATAAAAATAGGTGTTAACAATCTGCAAGACAATATTATGATTTTAATGCTAACATCCTATCTTTCTGTTCTAGCCAATACATGGTTTACATTAAATACTGCACAGGGCTCTGACAAATTGTCTAAACCTGCTCAGAAGGTCAGAAATTACTCTCAGGGAATCAAAACATTATGCTAGAAACCAAAGACATAGATAAGAGTGCGGAACTTTAATTTAAAGAGAAGAGGTGGGCCCTGGCTGGTTTGGCTTAGTGGATAGAGCGTCGGCCTGCGGACTGGAGGGTCCCAGGTTGGATTCCGGTCAAGGGCATGTACCTTGGTTGTGGGCACATCCCCAGTAGGGGATGTGCAGGAGGCAGCTGATCGATGTTTCTCTCTCATCGATGTTTCTAACTCTCTATCTCTCTCCCTTCCTCTCTGTAAAAAAATCAATAATATATATTTTTTTTTTAAAGAGAAGAGGTGAGTTCTGGGCAATAAACAAAGAGAACTGGTAATGGTTTGAATAGCTATAACCTTTTTTTTTTTTTAAGTACCACTTCAGATCAATTTAAACACCTTGAGATATAAACATGAGACATCATCAGCTCATGAGCCCAGTGTGAATAATACCGTAGTCATTCTACAACATTTCTGTGTAGGTAGAACACACTGGGAAAAATGAATATGGTATTAAGCTTCAAAAAGGGCAATTCTGAGGAGGTAGGGAGGACAAACACAGACTCTATAAGAGCCCTAAGCCAGAAATACATAATAAAATCCTTAAGCCAGTGTTCATAATAATTAGATATGAGATGGGTTGATCCCCCATTCAGCACTGTTAAGTGATTGTTGGTTAGGCAATTGTACAAATAAAATCACAGGAGGCTTGTTTAAGCCAAAGATCTATTTTTTAAATCTTCTGGTGTTTTAAAGCAAATTTTGGTGACCCTAAATGCATTTATTTATTCTTCAAACATTTGTTACAACATTCACTATATGTTGGGCACTTGTCAGAAATTGTGAGATATAAGAAGTGAAAGATATAGACCCTGATTTCAAAAGAGAATGAACACACCAGAAAAACCAATGAATATAACATAGTCAGATAAGAATTCTAAAAGATACACCAACACATTGGACAAACTAGAAGAAATGGATCAATTCCTAGAAACATACAACCTACCAAGCCTGAATCATGAGAAATAGAAAATCTGAACAGATTAACTACTTGCAGGGAGATTGTAGCAATAATCAAAAACCTCCCCACAAACAAAAGGGTGAACTTGGTATTAGAAGGAGGAGGAGTCCAGCAAGTTTCCTGAGAGAGAAGAAAAGACAGAGAAGGTAATGCGGAATCTTGGAAGGAGTTCTGAGAGTTGAGTGGAAGTTAGCCAGATGGATTTGGGTCAAAGAGTGAGAAGATCTCATGCAAATGAAGTGAAGCATAGGAAACCTTGGCCTGTTTGAAGGAATATAGCAGTAATAAGGTCGGGGATAAGGGTCGTAATGCAGCAGCGAGATAGAACATGAAACTGGAGAAACGTACAAGTGAAGAGCCTTTATTTCTTGCCAGTAGCTTGAATTTTTGCCAAAGGCTGTGGGAAGCCACTGGAAGGTTTTCAGCAAGATAGTATTCTGACCACAGCAGGGAGAAAAGATGAAAAAGATATATGGTGGGAGCAAGGGCACTAACTTGGAATTACTGCAGCAATTCAGGTGAAAAATAATGAGGTAACATGTTCATCTTGCTTAACCAGTTCCCGTCCACAGGTCCATGCATGCTGGCATTTTGGATTTTCCATTCAACGTGCCATGAGCATTTGAAAGCTACTTTTCCTACCTTTTCTGAGAGTAACTGTGTTAATAATAATACTTCTTATCTATTGAACTCTTACTGCAAGCAGACACAACTCTAAACCCTTTATATGTCACCAGTTATGCCATTTACATAACACCCCTGTGAGGAAAGTATTATTATTATCTCCGTTCTAGAGAATAGAAAGAAAAGGAACAAAATGGTCACAAAGCAGATAGGTGCTAGAAACTTGGTTCAGAGTCTGTTTTGACCAATTTGCCATACTGCCTCTTTGCTGGCATTACTGTCTTTAGTAACATAGCTGTTTGAGTAATTTCTCTCCCTTGTCCCGATCACTCTCCCCAGCTTCATTTTGATTGTGTTGTGGCTTACTGAACTGTCAGTGACCCACACCCAACAGTGTTCAAGTTTCTGCCCCGGACTTGACCCCAGTGGACCCTGGGTGATCCCTCAGCTGGAGTCACCTGCCTCCAGTTAAGACTTGACAGCCTATATCAGGCCAGTGTTGCTCAGTGGTTGAGCATTGACCTATGAACCAGGAGGTCATGGTTCAATTCCCTGTCAGGGCATTTGCCTGGATTCCGGGCTTAATCCCCAGTTGGAGGGTTAGGGGAGTGCAGGAGGCAGCCTATTAATGATTCTCTCTCATCATTGATATTTCTGTCTCTCCCTCTCCCTTCCTGTCTGAAATCAATAAACAATATATTTAAAAAACAACAACAGTTGATAGCCTAAGCAGGTGCCCAGCACCAAAATGGGCATCTTGGCGGCATTGGAGAGCACGATGTAGCTGGCCATGACCGCTGTGCTCCACAGACCCAGGCCAAAGACCAAGACCATCTTCTCTGTTTATGATTATTAATTTATGTCATTGAATTTTCACTTAGAAAGCCAGGTTTATTTCCTTTATTTTTTCCAATTCTGTGGAGGTGTAAACAACTAACAAAAAATATATGTAATATTTCAGTATACAACGTGATGGTTTTATATTTGTATGGTGACATATTTACCATCATCAAGCTAATGAACATATCGATCACCTCACCTGGTTACTTCTCTTAGCTCTCAGAATAATAGTTACGGTTTCTCTGGAAATTTATTTTGGTCTCTGGGTTGTCTCTGTTGTCTGACATTTTTGGTTTTCTATTGTTCCAATCTTTTCAGGTGTTAAGGGATTTCCTCTTATGTTGGATAATCCCTGGTGGCCCATTTATATGAGAACTAATAGCAATGTGTGTGCGTGGTGGGGGATCTTGTGGGGAGGCGAGTCTCTGAGTGGCAGCTTCACAATAAGGATCAGGCAGATAGTGAGCTACAGACTTTTCTTCTCGGGCTGTCAGCTCCTCCACAGAGGAATTCCCTGATCCTCGCTCTAGGGAAGTGACTTAAGCCTACTGTCAGCATTCTGGGAGCCAAGCAAGGGAAGGGAGTATTTCTTTAAACGACCTTAAAAATAGACAGACTCTTCTTTAATTTCAGCTGTCTTTCCTCCAATTTGTTGGGCTTAGTGAGACTTTTGTTCATGAACAATTATTTGGACCATTCCTGTAAGCTACCAGATGCTTTAAGATTTGAAAGACTCTAAAAGCCATCCTTGCAGATGATTAAATCACTTTATCAACCTGCCAAAATGGTTGACAATTTTACCTTCCAACGCTGTGAGGAAAGCTTCCTTGTAATGCACCTCCATTGCCTGAAAGAAGTACCCCTCGTGAATTAACATGCCAGGTCAGCTGGTCAGTTTTTACTCAGGACCCACTGAAAGAGTGGCACGAGACCAGGTTCCTTTTGATTGGGAGGAGGTTAGAGAAAACATACCATGCATGATACACTAGCCTTCATTTCCCCAATGGAGCATTATAACCTGGGGTCCTGGGATGCATTAGGAACCTGGGGGAGAGGCTGCCAAATAGAAATGGAGAAAGACCCCCCCAAAAAAAAAACAAACAGGCATCAGAAAAATTCTCCCTTCACAATATTTTCAAGGGAAAACCCTTGAAATTAACAGCTGATGAGATCTGTAAAGGTGAGAGCTCTAAGGTGACCAGAGTGGCCAGAGGCCCATAGAAGGTGTAAGGAAGGTCTCATGGATGAATCTCCTTGAGTAGAGTCCTAACATATGATAAAATAACATGCTGTGGGGAATGACATGGCTGAGGGGGGAAAAATCAGTCATCTATCAGGTTATTAGCATTTTTTGTTGTAATCGAAGTAATCGATTAGGTTTCCATGTGCTCTGCCAAGGGAATCAGTGAAATGAGGTTCTACTTGAGTCATTCAAGCTAAAGTTCCGCCTTTACCTGAAATAGCTGAAATTTTCTGATAAGCGAGACAAAGGTATGTCAGTTTTGCATTTTAAAAGCTTTTGTGCTATGAATAATTGCCTGTGTGTGTCTGTGTGTGTGTGTGTGTGTGTTTAATATGGATCCAACCAAAGAAAATAATTAACTGGATTTCACATAGTGCAGAAAATTCAGAAAGGGGCCAAGCCCTAGACACCGGATGTTTGGCTGTATCGCCTTGGTGATGAGGCTGCAGAATCCAACGTCTAGAACAGCGTTTGCTTCCCTGGGTGATTCCAACACGCTTGGACTTGCCCAGTAATTTCTAGGGAGCGCAGGGTTTGGGCACCCAGCTGCTCTGGGTAGGGATGCAGTTTACTTGGAAAACCAGGGCTTGTTCAGGTACAGCAGGAAGCTGGGCCAGGGAAGAAGAACACCAAACTACTCCCGAGTCTACTCTCCCAGGAGGCTGGGAAACGGAGGCCACTCGTTTTCCTCAAACATCAAGGCCAAGTTTCAGCTTCATTCAGGGCAGGCTTGTTTAATATTCAAGTGTCCAGGCTGAAGTCCATCTCTGGTAATTGTATTACTTATATTTGAATTCCTTGGTAGTTTCCAATACAAAAGGTCTAGCTTCCTCTTCCTGCTATGGTTCCTCTCCCTCTCCCGCTCCACCGCACCCCCCCCCGCCCCCCGCCATACTCTCTTTACTTACTGTGTTTGTGGGTTGTACGGTGTTATGGTACAGTGTTTAAATATCAGCTGTGTTTTATGGAACAGATTGGATTATTATTTCATCTGGGGAAACTGAAAATTAAAGGTGATGAGGGATTATAAATTTGCAGGTATTACAATATGAGGACTTACTTAAAGGCGCCTTGCATTAGCAACCCATGGACTAAGGTGGTCTGGAAGAAAAGTTGAGAGAAAAGATGTCTCTTCTGAAATTTCAAAGGAGAAATTCCCACCTTCTTTCCTTGCCAAATGCTCTACGCTGAGTGTGAGTTTGGTGACTGCTGGGTTGTTTTTGGCATGAATCGTTGGGCCAGTGTGCACAGATCACTCCTTGTCTGTCATTTCTAAACCCTGGCTCTTAACTCAGGATTTTTTTGACCCAATGCAGTAGTCTGTAGAGAGGGCTGGCCACGGTAGTCTGACAGGGCGAAAAGGCATGAAAGAGATTCTCTGCTCCTCTCTCTGTGCCTCATATTCATAGGACCTTCTTTCATTTTATTACTTAAGGCCAAGTATTAGATTTAGGATAGTACAGAGGACCAGGAAAATGGGTCCCTCTGAAAAAGCTCTGCATATCTCAACATGGGTAAATCTTGACAACATAAATTTTTAAAAAAATTTTAATCCTTACTCAAGGACATGCTCTTTATTAATTTTCTTAGGGAGACAACAAAAGAGAGACAAATATCAATGTGAGAGAGAGAAACATTGATTTGTTGCCTACTGTACATGCCTGGCCCAGGGATTGAACCACAACCTGGACATGTGTCCCGAGCAGGAACTTTGGTGTATGGGAAGATGTTCCAACCAACTGAGCCATACCAGCCAGGGTGACCACATACATTTTAAATGGGGGGAGGGGGAGAGGCAATTGAAAAGAATTCACATACCATGATACCATTTATGTGAGTTTTAAAATACTTTATATTTTGATATTTTTATGAGTACACACATACATTGGAAAGACATATTTGTATTCACCACAAGGATGAACATCTACTCCAGGAGAATGGTTATTTGGGAGGAGGGAGACAGAAGAAAGGAACAGTGTGGGCTGAATGAATTGGGACTGTGGTTGAAATCTGTTTTCCCTCAAAAACAGAGAAAAATATATCTGAAGCAAATATGGCAAAATGTTAGTACTTTTAAAAATTCAGGTTTATGCTATTTTCTATACTTTTGGAATGTTTAATAATAAAAATATTGCAAAATTTCTATAAAAGAGACTCTGAGGTTGCTGAGATTACTTGAATTTATTTCAATAAGCCTTTATTAAGACACTACTATCTCTTAGGCATTGGGGACACAGACATGAAGGTGACACAGTCCCTACCCCCAGGAACTCCAGCAATGAGAGATGTAACACATACCCGCAGTGAAGTGTGGTAACCACAATCATGTTATGCATAATGGTATCCAAGTAGGATGACTGACTCTATGATGACGACTTTACTAGACAATGTTGAGGAAATCTGCACAAGATTAATGACAAAGAAATCATCGTGAGTTGATTTTAAAAAATAGCTTACTTTCTTATTTCATATTTCAAACGAATTGTTAACATCGTATTCTCAGAGGTCTTCAGAATATCACTGGCAAGGGCTCCCATGTAATTTATTTAAATAAATATTTATTGTGTACCTTAGCAGATGTTTCCTTTGTGGTCCCTTCCAAGTCTGCTTTATAATCCTATTTTTCATAGAGATATTGTCTTCCAAGATAGATAATCAAATCTTTATAGACAGGGTTGTCTGTTTTTCATATTTGTATTGCCCGACCTCTGGAGTTTTTAGTATATTTCTACATAAGCAATAGTGATGGTTCAATTTTTACTCAATATATACTCTGTGTTATGGAATCATGGAAAGGGACACTTAATCCCAAACTCAGTATTTGAGGCCAAGGGCAGAAGGGAGACACCTGGAGTTAAGATCTACACTGTCCAAAATACGCAGATACAGTATAGAAAGAATATAATGCCTTGGATGAAAATGGTGCGAATGACACCCATTATTTCAGGCAAAAGAAACACAACAGTTAATTACCAAGAAGGTTGGCAGGGCATGGTGAAATATAAACAATATACTATTGGTTCCCCTTCTTGAGAAAATATTAATGGAAAACACTAAAGTCTTTTTTCTACTCAACTTTCATCCAAAGTAAAACCACCACAAAACTCAGCCTTCCACTGTTGGGTAGGTAAAAACAAACAAAAACACACACACAACAAAACAAAACAAAACAAAAAAACAGGAGAAAAGCCAGTATGTTCTATTAATAGCTGTACTTGGTCAGCAATAATGTTAACAGATTTTCATCAATAGTTAAAAATAGAACAGTAAATATTTGACATCTCAGTTTTAATTAAAATGAGCATAGTGTGATACTGGGGTGATAGTAATAAGAGATCTTTGATAAATCAGCAAAGAAGGTGCAGGCAGAATATCTGAGTCACAATAGTGAATACACATTACACCCGTTGGCTCAATAGAAAACTTCATTCCTGGGGCCCTTATTGTGTTTATATGTTATTTGCATGCATTTGTCTCCACATCAACCTACAACTTGGGGTTAGCAAAAGTTTTACTTTAATCAAAAATATGCTGTGTAAAGGAAGAGTCTTATGTGTGTACATAAAACAACATTGATAACAATAAAAGGGGAGACAAGTAAACCCAGGAGCATTTAAAGCAATCATAGTTGCTAAGGAGATAGAAAGTCAAGTCCACACAGTTGAAGGGACAGTTTCAGATGGCAACTGTCCAAAATATTGGGGCCAGCCAAAGGGAGAGCTAAGTATGTGCATGGTAGAGAAAGTGGCAACACAGCATCTATAATGGTGAGAATAGAACGAGATGCCTGTTTCTGGGCCCCCACTGTAGCCTTGTGAACCCACCGATTGTCTCCTTTTCTAACCTAACTGGATCCCACTTATTCATCCTTTGTTGGCTGTATCCTGGTAGGGACTTCTCCTACATCAGGGACTCTGGGACAAGCTCCCTGCCCTAGAAAGAAGTTGCCTGAGTTGCGAAGTCCTTTTCTATCTAGAACAGAAAGGCTGGAATTTGATTCCCTTTTTTGCAGCCTCGATTTCCTGATTCCTTCCTGAATCCCAATTGCTGATTTGGGTCCTAAAAGTCAGCTTCCGTGTTTGTTGGGCCAAGCCTTAGCAGATAATAGGCCTTTTCCTTTTTTGTTTCACTTCTTATCTCAGACCCAATTTCCTTTCCCTTCTCTCCATGATTCGGAGCTATCAATGGGATTGATAGTATTAATGGGGACTGATGTTTATTGAGTTCTTACTATATTGCAGGCACTGTTCTGAACAGTTTTCAAATATTAACTCTTTGAGGTCCCATTAACAAGTTGAGGTTGATATTTTTTTCATCCCTATTTCACAGATTAGGAAACAAGGAACAGCTAAGAAGTGACTAGGCCTGGACCTGAATCTAGGCAGCTGGTAATCTTCACCAATGACTATGCTGACTTTCATGATAATAGGATGACTTGGGTAATGAAGGGCCTGGAAGAAATATGGTGACTTTCATTGTAACAAAAATACCTTGATGTGATTTAAATGCTTTTTGATGATAAATGTCAGAGTTACCATGAAATCCTTTGACCGTCATAAAAGCTGGTGATTTTGTGTGTTGTGATAGTGGTGGTATTTTATTCAGACATTTTAATACCTAGTATGTGTTCTAAGAAATAAAAAAGAATTCCGATGGAATACCTGCCCTCTGAGAGCTTTCAGTCTAGTAGAGGAAGCCAGACACAGAGACAAATACAAGTGTAAAAGGTGTTATGAGCGTAAATCAGGACACTCGGCAATTGTGATCAAATTTCTCAGAAGTAAAGAACAGGGAAGGTTCACAGAGGAGTGCTGTCAGGATATATGATCAGGTAACTGTCCTGATCAAAATACATTAATTGTCTAATCGTGTGTTTTTATCTTCTAAAAGAGTATAAAGGAGCAGATTTCACAGGAACTTGGGGCCCAGCTTAACTTTCCTCCTCATATCCTGCTTTTAATTTAAATGACAGTCTCAGGGATAATGTAGTATTGCAGGTCCTACGCTGGTTTGAATTGTTTTCCCAGTGGGCGCTTTGACAGTTCATAGAATTATCTGCAGAATTGGTCAGGTCAGTCCTGGTGTGATGTAGACGTGTCTTGTGACTCTCAAGGTCTGTGAGAAGCCTGGAGAGATTGTGACAACCACGAGTTAACATTTTGCCCTCTGCTGTTACCTAATCACGCACGTTAATCATCGCATGGGGGCGTCTGTGGTGATGATGGGTGAAAAGGTCTGTATTTTCAGTGGCTGCTTAGGAAAAGTCTCAGGTGCTCCCAGTCATCCTGGAGAACCCACAGGAAGTGTAAGTTAATTCATTACATTGGCAGTGCAGGGAATGTGTGGGCACAGCATTCTGAGTGGTGAAGGGCTGCTTCTTATGTAACGTAGCCCAGGACCTGGAGCTCCAGGGAAGGGGAGCGGATGCAGGGGGAGTCCCATGTGTGGTGGAGCAGGGAAGGTAAGTATTCCTGAAATAGGGCAGCAGCGTGAGGGGTGGGGTGAAGCGAGTGAGACCAACACATGCAAGTGTAGGGTGAGATCGGCCCTGTCTTTATTTCAAACTTTGAACTTTTGTTCATTGTTGATTTTTTTTGCCTTGATATCAGTGTTTAAAATATTGTATTAGAATGTTTATCTTGATTATGGTGTTTTTGACATCTTGAATATTGCACTGAGGAAAGTGCTTCGGCCCCCTAGCCCTAGATTGTACTTGAGGTGAGAGGTTTCCACACATATCATTGCCGAAGAGAGTCATTGCATTGTATTGTAGATGTGACCTCACAGGGCTCCTGATGTTACCTTAACCCAGAGGCTGCCATCAGGGGCCTTTGGGACCATGTTCATCCTGTAGACATGTATTATTGCCACCAACATTGTTTATTTTTGAACACTGAGCTGCCTTCATTTTGAAATGGAAAGGTGCCTTCTAAAACAATGTGGATATCTGACTTCTCATGAACATTTGGGCCTATGCTTTTTCATGGCACTAATCAACCAAAGCTGACTAGACCACCTCTTCAAGTTCACTGGGCCCATTTCATAAGTTTATGTTATTGCCTGGTACTGCAGGCATTGAGCTTCTGAGTCCTGATTAACTGCAGGAGTCTTTCAATAATACCTCTTAAATATGGGCTTTCATTCATTTAATAACTATCTAGTTTTGTGCCTATTATGTATAATATGTGGCTAAGGAACAAGATGACATGGTACTTTTTCTCTTGGAACTTGTTTTAATCTCTTAGGCAATGTTATAGGTTGCACTGTATCTCCCCAAAAAGGTGCACTGAAGTCCTAGCCCCAGTACCTCGGAATCTGAACTTATTGGGTCTTTACAGAGGTAATCAAGTTAAAATGAGGCATTAGAACGAGCCCTAAGCCAATATGACTGGTGTCTTTAAAAGGGGAGAAACTGGGACTCAGAGACAGACACAAATAGAGGGGAAACAATGTGCAGGCACACAGGCAGAAGATGGCCATGGGCCTGGAGTAATGCATCTGCCAGCCAAGAAGGCCAAGGACTGCTGGCAAACACCAGAAGCTAGAAGCCACCAGGAAGGATTCTCACCTAGAGCTGTCTGAGACAGCCTGGCCCTGCTGACACCTTGACTTCCAGCCTCCAGAACCGAGGCTGGTGTTTTTAGGCACCCAGGTATTTGGTATTTTGTTTCAGCAGCCCTAACAGGCAGTTACTAAATAATGATTTGAACAAGTCAATTTAATGACAATTGTGGCCAGAATTGTGAAGGGCAAGTACAGAATGCAGTGAAAGTGCACGTGGGCGGGATGGCTGGTCTTGTTAGGAAGTTAGGAGGTTCTGGGGTCTTTTCTAAGGAAGGTGTGTTTTAGCCGAGGTCTGAAAAAATGAGCAGGAGCTACTCTCTAGTAGTGAGGGAAACAGGCACAGCCAGGATGAGGGGGATTGATAATGTGCAAAGGCTCTAAGGAAAGAAAGAGTAGGGTGTATTCAAGAAACTGGAACCCAGCTGGTGGCTGAACTACAGGCAGGAAATTGTGGAACCTGATGAGGTGGGCCCTCTATAGTGGAGTGTACTGACTGACTTTGGGGAAATTATATAACTTTTTGAGAATAATAATAGTTCTTACTTGGTTATTATGAGGATTAAGTGAGATAGTAAATGAAAGAGTCTTAAAAGAATGGCTGGCACATATGGTTCCATAGATGTTTGATTCTATCTATTGTTTGATTCCTGCTGTTCATGTTGTTACCATCAGTATTAACAGGACAGTGATTTGCAGGGCCCTGGGCTGCCCTTAGCATGTTGATCTCTATCCTTAAGGAAATGGGAAGCTAGTGTGTGTTTTTAATCAGGACTTCAATTTAGCCAGATTTTACTTTAAAAGATCCATCTAGCCCCAGTGTGGAGAATGGAGATCAGTGGAGACGAGGCCACTGGAGAAAGTTTCTGGGGACGGGTGTTGGTGGTGGCAGTTCGGCCTTGATCACTTTGTAGAATTTGGAGATCACACAATCATCTGAAGAAAATTTGGAATTCCACAAAATTCTGCTTTCTTCTATATTTTAGGGTTTTCTTCTAGAACAAATACGCCCTGGGTGATGCATGGATTTTTATCTCAATTCTTCCATAAACTTAGCATTTGCAAGTGCTCATTTAATTATAGATACAAAACAGATATAAAGGAAATCCAGATTAATACATGGTGAAATTAAGATTCCTGGTTGTTGAACCCATCCAAAAATGTCTTTAGGAGCTTCTAAATACTCTCATTCTCTATTTGCTTTTTTTATTGCTTTTATGTATTGTGCCTTCATTTTAGAAGAGAAATTGAATTGACTTGTTCTTTACAAAGCCACATTCATTGCTATCAGGATTTGTGGTCTTAGGTGAAGGCAAAATGCTGGACTGGCAAATGTTCACAACAAATATGTTTTAAATAAAGTACTGGATGTGCTGAAAATTCATTAGGTAATGAAAGCAATCAAGAAAAATTGAAAATGCTCTAATTCTCTCTGGATTTATGGTTGACTTTAATACAAAGTATCATATTTGATATAATTGGTTTGCCTAATATTGGCAGACTTAAAAAATTATCTAATGAGTTAGTTCATTGTTAGTGGAGAATTCACCTGTGATGCCAGAGGTGGAAAATGTTTCAAGTTTAAAAACATATAAGCAAAATGTTCATTTCCAAGTGACAGTTTATGATACTCAGCTTTGAAAGGGAAAAGGAAATTTGGAGCCGAATTTCCTCTCTGTAAACTAAGAAAATTCTAATCTTTCCTGAATTTACTCTATTATAATAGAGTACCATTTTATAAGAATTTCTTTTACAATGCCCTTATTCATTATCTTATTCCCTGTTGAACAAAATTATATATGAATATTAGCTTATTTTTAATAAACTCTTGTGTGTGCACTGATTAAAGCACCCATGTTTATATGTAAAAGATGGGTTTTTGACTTACATGAGTTTTCAAAACGAAAAAGAAATCACATGGGGACTAAGAAATACCATTATAAAAGAGATTCTTGTTTACATTGAAAAATCTTACCTTTCTTCATATTTTCTTATATGTACTTATTTGAAAGGGATCAATGCATAAGACCATTTAAAATGACATTGCTAAGTTATGTATTTTAGGGTGACTTTAATTTTTACAAAATGAACTGCTCAACTATGATAAATTTTGCTAAGGTTTCAAATGGCATTTTTTAATATTTCAAGGTGAGGTGCTTTAATTAGAAATCTTCTCAGCAGCTCAATGATGTTTACCAAATAGACATAGACATAATTTTACCAGTGTCATTCTTTCCTTATTGTAACCCCATGATTACAGAAATTCAGTATATCTTTGTTGCTTGTGTACATCCTTAAGTGCTAGAAAAAATGCCTCCCTGGTACACAGAAGGTGCCTAATAAGTGCTAGTTGAATGAATGAGGACATATATTTCCTGTACCACCAATGACTTACTGCAGGTAGGTGGTACTGTGAATGGAGAGAACTTCTGAACTGTGACCCTTTGATACGTGCGAGTGCCTGCCATGATTTGCCAAACTAGTTGGCAGGGGACCTGAGTTGCCCAGTGGCCCAGTTTCTCATCAGTGCCTAACTGGCTTCTGTAACTGTGAGATATCAGAGCACCATGAACCAAAATTCTGTTGTTCATCCAGGATTCTCCAAGTGTGCTCCCTGCGATACAGCACCACATGGGAACTTGTTATTCATGTCAACCCTCAGGTCTCAACCTAAAGAGGATTCATCAAAAACTCTGAGCATGGGCTCAGTAATCCGTGTCAGACAAACCCTCCAGGCGATTCTGATGTGGGCTCAAGTTTACGACCCGCTGCTCTAGACCATGGTTGGATAGGCATGGCTAACATCTACCTCTTATTTTCCTTTTGTGTTCTTCCAGTGATGTCCGACTTCCCTTCTAATTGGCACAATCTAATTTTAGGGACATGAATACTTTAAGGAATGCCTTCTTAAAGTAATTTG